TCCTCCTCTCATCACGCCATGATCACCATGACCATCATCATAGGAAAAGTCATCACTAATCATATACTTATATATACTTATTACAATCCCTACCAATTGTATTAGAATTTATCCTTATCATCCCCAAAATCACCAACCCATTTTCAGCATTACCATCATTATGATAATAGTCATCGCCATTTAATATATTAGTCTATATTACTATGTGCGTACTATGATCCATACAAGTTATATCTCAGATTATCATCATCATCCCTGCCGATATTATGCCATTCTCACCATCGCTATTCAGTATTTTAATCTATATTACTACCTAGTTATTGTGATCCATACAATCTACATCTCAGTTTATCATCACCCTTACCATCACTACGCCATTATCACCATCACCATCATAATAATGATGATAGTCATCTGCATTACAAAGTGTTTATTATGATCCATATAATTTACATCTCAGTTTATCGTCATCATCCCTATTCCTACGCCTACAGGTCCGTTGGGAAGATAGCAAGGGCGGCTACGGCGAGCATTACTGGGACTACAACCACGCCCCGAAATACCATGTGAGATTTTTCAGCGTTTGTTTGTATCTAGTCTTTAGTTGATATTCTCTCTTCTCTTCTCTTCACCTTTCTTTTCGCTTCTTCTCATTTCTTTCTATTTCTCTTTTCTTTCTATTTCTCTTCTCTTCTGTCTCTCCTTTTCTCCCTCTCTCTCTCTCTCTCTTTCTCTTCTCTTTCTCTTTCTCTTCTCTCTTTCTCTCTCTTCTCTTTCTCTCTCTCTCTCTCTCTCTCTCTCTCTCTCTCTCTCTCTCTCTCTCTCTATATATAATATATATATATATATATATATATATATATATATATATATATATATATATATATATATATACACACACACACACACACACACACACACACACACACACACACACACACCACACACACACACACACACACACACACACACACACACACACACACACACACACACACACACACACACACACACACACACACACACACACACACACACACACACACACACACACACACACACACACACACACACACACACACACACACACACACACACACACACAACACACACACACACACACCACACACACACACACACACACACAACACACACACATATATATATATATATATATATATGTGTGTGTGTGTGTGTGTGTGTGTGTGTGTGTGTGTGTGTGTATGTGTATGTATATATATACATATGTAATATATATATATAATATATATATATATATATATATATTATATTACACACACACACAACACACACACACACACACACACACACACACACACACACACACACACACACACACACACACACACACACACACACCACACACAACAAATATATATAATATTATATATATATATATATATATATATATATATATATATATATATCACTATTTGTCCTACACAAGCTCCTGTTTGTCTTTTCATCCTTCTCTTGTCATCCACCATTTTGCTATCTCCTTACCTTTAGTACTTTTCTTTTACCACTACCGTCTTTACCATTCTTCTCTCCCTCAGGACGACCACCACGACGAACCAGGAGGGCGGATTACCATGACGACCACCATGGGGGTTATCACGACGACCACCACGATGACCACCATGGCGGATACCATGACGACCACAATGTAAGTATTCCCCTGTTTTTTATATTATCGCTGTTATAACTTACTTTTCTTATTGTTATGCATCGCTAGTTTCGTATCCATGCACTCATTATCGATATTTCCAGCAAAAAGTACTTTCCTCTAATCATCTTAGTTTCCTTTTGCATAAGAAGCAATTCAGTCTCGCTCTCACCCTACTGACCACCAAAACAAACACGCCGATCTATCGTTTCATCCATTCTATAAGAAACATAACTGAATCATGACTTATGATCCCTCCCGAAGGACCACGGCGGGTACCACAGCCAGCCCGTCCCCGACTTCGCCCCCGCCCTCGCCTCCTCGTCCTCCCCGAAGGTCGTGGGCGAGAGAGAGGGCCGCTCTTACACGCCGACCGCCCACCACCGACGACGCTCCAAGGCTACCGCTGCGGGGAACAAGGTCGGGGTAGAGAAGGCCTCGGGACTGGAGGAGAAAGAGCCCAGGAAGGAAGTAGTCCCCAGGAAGAACAAGAACGGCAGGAAGAACTACGGCTTCTTTAACGAAAGGAGGAGCTTCGAGTACACCAGGACCTTCGGCAGGGACGGCAAGAAGCCGCAGGAGAAGGGGGGAAAGGAGGCAATCGAATCCTCATCGGCTTTCCCTCGCGCCTCGGGCTTCGACCAAACTCCTGACCTCTCCGACACGAAATTCTATCCCCGGTCGTCTGCTTCCTCCTCTTCTTCTTCGCATTCTTCTCCCCTTCTGAGCTCAGGCAGCAGGGCAGTGTCTGAGAGTAAGAAGTTTTCTGCGAGGTTACCTTCCAGCTCACCTCGAAGGACGTTCAACAACCGCCGTTTCAAGCGACCAAGACACAGGTCTTCCTCCATCTCCACCACCACCTCTTCCCCCATCCCTATTCCCTCTCCTCCTCCTCAGAGAAAGAAGCCTGAGGAACCAACGACCTCCCCCTCTCCATCCTCGTCCGCATCCTCTCCGTCTCCTTCCATCTCCCCTTCCGGTCTGGCTTTCGACCTGGAGACAGGCCGAGTCTATGACGAGGAGGCCGGCGTGTGGTACTCCCTCGTCCCCATTCCTGAGCCCTGAGGAGCCACTGCATTGGTGAAATGTGCTTCCTTTCAACGCTCAGCCTACTCAAAGTACTGCCTTTAATGTCTTTCCTTATCAATCTCTCTCTCTCTCTCTCTCTCTCTCTCTCTCTCTCTCTCTCTCTCTCTCTCTCTCTCTCTCTCTCTCTCTCTCTCTCTCTCTCTCCTCTCTCTCTCTCTCTCTCTCTCTCTCTCTCTCTCTCTCTCTCTCTCTCTCTCTCTCTCTCTCTCTCTCTCTCTCTCTCTCTCTCTCTCTCTCTCGCTCTCTCTCTCTCTCTCTCTCTCGCTCTCGCTTTCTCTAACAATTTGCTTTTTCTTCGTTATTTTCCCTTACTTCATTATTCCCTTGTACCGTTTTCTGTGATCTCATTTATGGCTCTTGTTTGTTTCATATTTAATATTTTCTTTCTTATATATTCTCTTTTTTTCCTCTTTTACTCCATTTCCCTTGTTTTTGTTAACATCCGATTCTGATAAGGAAACCATACTAGTCATACTGTTACTAGTTTTTGTAGACAATAGTGAACTGTGTTCTTTATAAAAGACATTTTTCATCCTACTCTCTGGTTGGTGTTTTTTCTCTATACCTGATCCTTTTTTACCATGAGTTTGCTAAGGATTATAGCAATACCCTCTGTGTTGTTACATTTGCACTTCTGTGGAAATAAAATTGCAAACTTGACTTGGAACTGTTATTGTTGATATAATAGCAGAAATATATTTACACCTACGGACACGAATACCTTTTGACTGAGGTGAAGGTGGACGACCTGTTGCCGTGTTTTTGAATCGATTGTTTTCCGTGGGACTTTCTGTCCATCTCTATCTCTCTCCCTATTTCTCTATATAACTCTCTCTATCTCTTTCTCTAACTCACTCTATTTATCTTCATCTCTCTCTTTCTCTTCTTCTCTCCTCTATCTCTCTCTTCTCTCTCTCTCTCTCTCTCTCTCTCTCTCTCTCTTGTCTGTCTTCTCTTTTGGATCTTCATCTGCCCTCACTCTCTGAGTGGTCTCTGTCCATCTCTGGAGCCCAACAATCTCTCCAAGAACAGTACTCTCTTTCTCTCTCTTTCTCTCTCTCTCTCTCTTCTCTCTCTCTCTCTCTCTCTCTCTCTCTCTTCTCTCTCTCTCTCTCTCTCTCTCTCTCTCTCTCTCTCTCTCTCTCTCTCACTCACTCTCTCACTCTCTCACTCTCTCACTCTCTCTCACTCTCTCTCTCGCTCACTCTCTCACTCTCTCACTCTCTCACTCTCTCTGACTCTCTGCTCTCTTCTCTCTCTCTCTCTCCTCTCTCTCTCTCTCTCTCTCTCTCTCTCTCTTCTCTCTCTCTCTCTCTCTCTCTCTCTCTCTCTCTCTGTTTCTTGTCTGTTTGTTCCCCCCCACTCTCTCTGAGAGAGAGATGAAAGGCAAGACTGAAGGAACATAAAGGAAGGAATGAAGAGAGATAGGAAGAAGGGAGAGGGAAAATAGAGAAAGAGACAAGAAGAAAAATAGTGGGAAGGGAGAGAGATAGTGGGATGGAGGCAGAGAGAGGGAGAGAGATAAAGGTAGATTGATAAACATAGAGAGTGAGAGAGACAGATCGAAAGAGATGTCGAGAAATATCAAAATTAAGATATATTCTGTCTGAAGAGTTAACATGTATTTAAGGTGTACTTCACGTATACTTTTGTCATATCATTTCAAAATGCAATATTCCAAAATACAGTGGTAGATATTTGCAAGCTATTGCCAACACAAGACTGTTTCTTTCTTTTGTCTTTGTATTTTAAAGTTTTGGAAATTTGAACTACTTTGTATTAGCCACATATGATAATGATTTATATATAATAGCAATATTGGATTTAATGATTCTATGTTGGTATGTTCTATTTTGTTACTATTTGACTATTTTATGTCCAATAATTTATCAGACTGAAGAGAAAAGTGACACTGGCCTGTCAGATGACACAAGCAAATCACAGAACAGCAAAATAACAAATATGTACCCCATTACACTAAGGGTGTTCTACTACTATTAAATATATATTACATACAGTTTCGACCAGTATATATTTAGCAAAACTACAGATTACACAAACTCTGAACTTCATTTGTAATTCTGGTTATAAAAAAAGAATAAGAAAAAAATAAAATAATCTGAATTCAAAAACATTTTCTATAGTCCTGTGCCTTGTGTACATGTAATATCCTAAAATTGTTTTACCCACTTTAATTTCTAAACTGGAATAGCAACAAACAATGTTTCTTTCTAAGCTTTATTATGCTAAATTTTACAAGCAGTTAGCAAATACGGCTGGAAGAAAAGTTATATATGAATTTTTAGTGCTTTCAGGCGCTGTGTCTTTGTCAGGAAGCACATCAAAATCACTCTTCCTTTGTATCACACATGAAAAATATATCTAGAAATAAATGCACTTACACAAAAATTTCAAATAATCATTCTTTTGCAACTTCCAAACATGGGGAAATATCCCCACATTGCAGAATTCCTTATTTTGGAAGCCTTTTTTAGGAAAGACTATTATTTCCAATTTTTTGGAAAAGACAACAGCAGTTAAAAGCTACAAGAGACAACTTCATTTAGAGGGCATTTTCCGTCCCTAGATTTACTCATTTTTTGTTGTTCATGTATTCACTTGTTTCAGTACTGATGTGTACCTGTACATTTCTGTAATTTAAATAATGTCCTCTCATTCTTTATGCAAAGAAAGACAAAGTGCGGCATGAACTGCATTTGAGCGATGAAGTATTATAGGTAAATGTACAGATAGAAAGATATTATGTTAGAAAGATGATTCCTTCTTTGAATTAATAAATAAAATAACATAAAATCTGAACTGCAAGTGAATTTCAAACAGTGAATGTTATAAATTTCTTTGTAAAAAATAAAAAATATATGTATAAATACATACATAATGTCTTTGCATTGTTCTCTCATATCAATTTCTGCCTTACGAACAATAAAAGGGGTACCTAAATATATATATTCATATATCCATATACATTCTTGTACAAATATAAATATAAAACTAACACCGGTCTTCTTCTTACCATCCTAATATCTAAATTGCATTGACTATAAGAACTATCAAGTTGAATGAGTAAATAGATCAGCCACTCTGCTTCAGCATACTCCTTGACTGGTGGACTAGCTAGGGAACCAGTCAGAAAAAAATGGAAAAAACAAACACAGTCATCTTCCTATGTATGGTGACTGCAGAGAATGGACGTGCACAGAGTGAGTTCCACAGCATATCTTCAAATGAAAAATGGAAATGTTTTCTGGCCTTTCTACAAGTTCTACCTTCAAAAATCTTCAAGTTTGGAGATATTTTGAAAATGTATCCTTTTCTAATATGTATAAGTATCAACTTGATAGATAAATACTGACATAAGATAAAGGTAACATTAATCCTACAAAAAAGAAACGTCAAAGGAGAAGGAAAATAAGAGGAAAAGTCATACTTCCCTAGGTAAGTGCAGCAGCAACAAGCAAATCCTGTATATAGACAATAATATAGGCCATTCATCATTCTTAAATAAAGCACATTTAGGTATGGTAAAGATGATGACAAATTTGTGACATGCTGACTCTTGAAAACAACCACAAAAACAGAGAGACAACTGAGTCAATCAGCCCAGCATGAAACCACTTCCTTCATAACAACCTAAAGAAGGTGGCAGATAAGCCACACCTTCTACCATGAACATGCTTATGTTCATTTCCCATCTACCCTTCCATAGAGCACTGTCAAGCATTCAATCAATTCCATCTTGCCACTAAGCCCTTACTTCCCCATCCACCAATCCATCAATGCACATACCCTTTTTACCCTTCCACTCAGCCCCAAACACCCCACGTATCAATTTCACAACACCCATTCCTCTCTCAATACTCCTGAGGGTGTATAGGCTTATCAGAACTGCACAAACTGGGAAGATAAATCCTTGTAAAGTTCCTATATAGTATATCACCTGTAAGCTCATTGCCTTGTATCTATATTATCATTTACTTTATTCCTAAGTGATATTGTTGGTTGTGCTTAGCATTATTCCCTGCATGAATATAAAGAAAAAATGGGAAAACAAACAAACAAAAAATATTAAAAAGAGAAAGAAATAATAGTATTACAACAACAGACCCTAGCACCTGCTATTGAGTCCTGTATATGGAAAGTACAGGCATGGAAGCTATGGTCATTATCGATGCAATTAATTACATATTAGTATTCAGGGTAAGATATTTATATAGTGTACTTATACGTGCTATCCCTTAAATTCTTAAAGCTTCTGACTACAACATTCCAATACATATCAACGACACATGAAGTCCCACAGGTCCAGTGGGAAAGGCATGGCAAACCCTAGTTATTGTGAATCAAACTCTTACATCCTTCATAATACCTAGGCAGCACAAGAAAAAGTAAAAGATAAACACAGCTGTCTACTACACAGATATGCCCTCTAGAGTACATCCTGTTGGTGGCCATACACAAATGTATGCAAGAATAGTGCCTGCAGTTGCAAGAAGTTCACTTTGAAACGTACAATGCATGCATATCATATTTCTTCCCCCTCACTCAACCCAGATATCTCTTTCTTTCCCATAAGACTCCAAACTTTAATGGATACTTAATCATAGCTAAATCATGTAACTGAATAATAAATAATAAAAATCAACCAAAGTAATTGTTTATTTCTTTTCATTTTCATACTGATGTTTTCCACATTAGGATGGCATTCTCCATCACTGAGTTAAAAGTTAACTAATTCAGAAGCATCCAGTTAGGTGATTACTGATGTCTCCAAATATTTTGTAAATGTATCTCTGGAATTATTGCATTTTTGTGAGGAAGTATCATGAAAGTTCAGAAATTATTAATGCAAAAGAGAGAGTTGTTTAAAGAGTTAATACACCTTTAGTCCATGGGAAGTGTAGGAAAAGGTCCAACCATATGATAGAAAGCCAGCATGCTTGACAAAGATTTTGTTCATTTTATTTCAATTTTTTTATAGGAAGCAGAAGTTTAATCAAGATGGGCAGATGGTAGACAGCAGACAAGAACCCTTGGGGAGAAGCGATCTTATTTGAGGAATTTCAGTACACCACAAAACCTTGACTCCTTATATATAAGGTAATTGTTTCCAGTATCTGTCATACAAGTTAAACTTCACAAAACTTATTTGTGAAGCCCAAAATGCCATTAATTATAGAATGAAGGTATAAGATTATGTTGCATAATATTTCTAGCCTGTCTTCAGAAGTGAGATGGCCCAGAGTTAATTTTGTTAATTATGAATCATGTACAATGATGCATAAGATGATATTTTGAAATATAAATGTTTTCAATATGACTATGATATAAGATTGATTTCCTTGTACCAAGTGATGTTTTTCCTTACATTTCATATGAGAGAAATTAAGTTGTTAGGCATTCTATTTCTGTCCGCTAAGTACTTTGTTATTTACTTTGTGATAATTGTTGCTAATTAGAGATTTCCAATCCAGGAATAAATCAGTTACAACCTCTATGACATCAATTTCTCAATATCACACTATGTGGCCATTCTTAAGACACCTGTAGCAGTGGCACATTTCATACTAGAGCTTATATATGAAGGAATGGTAAGACAACAATACTTAAATCTTTTTTCTCATTTTCTTGCTCCCCACAGAGCCCAGCTTGCATAACTAACACTGTTTCCCTTTGACAGTCTTGCCCTTAGGCTCATCATCAGGATATGCCTCACGGGGGGGAATGAGAGACAGCATCATCAGGTGGCGGGAGAAGCACTTCGAGGCACGGAATTTGTCATCTGTGCCATGGAGGAGATCAAGCACCCCTAATACACCATAGCACTGATTGAACCTGCAACAAGTTCATAATATTTAGGCAAACAGAAAAAATGAACCTTAATTTTATATACTCTATATAATAGCATATACTTTACTAAGGTGATCCTTTGATCTTAATTTGGGCATGAAACAATTAATGAAAACAATCTTTTAAAATAAGAAAATAAATCTTACTTCAGGTGATGGAAGTCATGAGCCTCAGGTGATGGGAAGAATGGCAGATGATACCCACTATGGGCATTAAGGGTGCTGAGGATGGTGAGGCTAACCCACAGCCAGACAGTAGCAACGTGTGAGCCAAGGACCAGTGGGCCAAGGAATACTGGCGAGAGGTTGGAACAGATGTGCTCCAGAGGGTGGGCATAAATGGCTGTGATGGCGATGGGGCTCTGCCACTCATGGTGCATCTTGTGGAAGTGCTTGTAGAGTAGCCTGTGGTGGAACAGCCTAGAAGGAAAGAGAGGATTTGGATTTTGTTCAGATTTAGATTCAGGTTCATCTCACTATTTTAAAATCAAATTCATGTTATACAGATTCAAATTCAAGGTGCTTCAATTCAATTTCAAGTTCTCTCAAGCGTTAGTGTGTTGTTTAATAACTGAGAATTTTGAGGTAGCACTCTCAAGCCTTACAGAAAGTAATGAAGATAAATTGAGACTGTAAGAGTTACAACAGATAAAAACATAACAGATACAAAAATATTCATAAAAGGAGACAAAAAGTCAAAGATCTGCCCTCACCTATGTGAGTAGTAAAATCCAACTTCTTCAAGCAAAATGCAAATAATAAGCTCGAAGAGTACCCAATGGAAAGTGGGCAGCTGTGGGGACTGGTCGTAGCCGCGCAGAGCAAGCAAATAATAGCTGGCAATGGAGAATGGAATACCCACGAAGAACTGGTTGAAGTGTACCCAAAGGATACACTGTTGGAAAAAGAAAATATCAATAAATGATGTGTACACTCTGGAAAAAAACATTGACTACTTACATTACAGTATCATTATAACTTCAAATCAAAATGTTGATGACTAAGTAAAATCATCAGCCTTCGAACTTGGCAAAAAATAAAAAATGTGAAGTCTGAGATACGTCTTTTAGATATGAACTTTCTTCCACTAGCTAGAGAAGCCCATCCACACCCCTTAGTGGGGCCAAAAGGGCATTTTGCTGCATCCACCCCCAACCTCATTTATGAGGTTACCTTCTGGTAAGATGCAGCATAGAGGCATGGCTCATCTCACACTCGTGACAGATATGATCACTCTGCCTCTAAATGCATTGAGACCAGAGACCTGTATATGATGGCAGCATATACAAAGTCAGCAAAGTCAGAGTCAGCAACCAGTGTTGCTGCTTTGGTTGACAGGCTTAGCTATTATCCAGTTGATGCATGTGTTGAAAGGCCAAGTCTTAAGATCATGGTACACTGAGTCAAAGACATGGACCCATTGCTTTACATCCCTTCAGCATGGAGATTGCTTCCCAAACTTCTGTCCGAGTAGGAGGTTCCTCACTGATGAGGTGATCAGGTATTTGGAGCACATCATTAACATCAATGCTAACCATAAGTGACTCAACGTGAATGTCTCAAAATCAGCCCAATACAGTTGCATTCCAGATTTGAGATGAACTGGCCATCTGGAAGAAAAGCTCTATATTCAGCTGTCTCTTCACTCTCCTCAGCGAAATTTCCACCACATGCACAGGTGGGAGGCGTTCGAGCAGTCCCAGGACAAGATTTGAGGGAAAACGTCAGCTCTGTAGTCAACAAGGTCACCAGAAGCAATACTGGACCAAGAAGCAATCAACCGAGGATGTGGCTTCAGGGTACCATTACCAGCCTTGCTACTGGAGTTGCAGTGAACAGGGCCATCTTTTGCAGAAATGCCAGAAACAATCTGTGGGAAACAAGAAGAGGCTGGAATAAGGGGCCCATCAGCCGATGAGTGTGATTCCCTCCAACAGACAACAGAAAGCACAGGTACAGGGTATAGGCAATAGCTAGCCATATTGTCTTACAATAGTAGGCAGGACCACAAAGCAAGGCTTTCCTCTTGCATCACATTGGACTTGTGGAGTCAAAGGGCACTGTGTATAACTGAGGAGACCTTACAGAGGAGCAGGCTGATAAGCTGCGGACATTATTGTATATCTACATTACCATATTTTCGATAGGGGATTTGGGTGTTAGTGAAGTATCTAATCAATACAGGTAGTAATCGCCCTATTAAATACGCTCTCAGATGTATATCCCCAGTGTAGAGGCCTGATATGGAAGAACTGGCTGCAGAGATGCAGGCACAGGGGATCATTGAGAAGTCAAGCAGCCCCTGGTCATTTGTTGTGGTTCTAGTAAAGAAGGATGGGTCCAGACGCTTCTGTGTGGATTACAGGGCCCTTAGTGAGGCAACCATTAAGGATGCTTATCCACTGCCACGTATGACGTTTGACACATTGGTGGGGACACAGTGCTTTAGTACTCTTGAAGTCTAAAACGGCGTTTTCATTTGATCAAGGACTATGGCAGTCGAAAGTTATACTATTTGGTTTATGTATTGCACCTGCCACATCTGAACATATGGAGCACATTCTAGATGGGCTACAGTGGAAATCAGCACTCATCTATCTAGATGATGTTATTGTGTACGGGAACACTTTTGAGCTGGAGTTAGAAAGACTAGAGGTGGTATTTCAGTGCTTTAAGCAGGCCAATCTTAAGTTGAACCCTAAAAAGTGTGTGTTTTTCCAGACTGAGGTGCCATTCTTAAGGCATACAGTCAGCAGAGATGAAGTGAAAACGAACAGGGAAAAAGTGAGGGCTACGCAAGAATGGCCAGAACCCAAAGATAAAGGAGAAGTATGAAGCTTCCTTAGCCTCTGTACGTACTATCGAAGGTTTGTAAGGAATTTTGCCAGCATTGCCACCCCTCTGAACCAACTCACTAGCAAGGGTGTGCATTTCCAGTGGAGTCAAGAATGTTGAGTGTCCTGTAACCAACTGAAGAAGCACTGTCACAAACACCAGTGCTGATGTGCCCGGATCCACATAAGCCTTACGTCTTGGAGTGTGACATGAGTATGGATAGAGCAGGGGCAGTCTTATCTCAAGAGAAAGGCGGACATGAGCATACCGTAGCTTACTATTGTTGCAAGTTCAACAAGACTGAGCAGAACTATTGTGTAACCAGAAAAGGGCTGCTTGCAATACTAAAGAGCCTGGACCACTTCCACCATTACCTATATGGTGCAAAGTTTACAATCTGTAGAGACCATGCTGCTGTTCATTGGCTGAAGACCTTAAGAAACGTAAAAGGGCAACTGGCATGGTGGAAACCAGGAAAGGCCCACATCAAAACCGATGATTTCAGTAGCCGGCTTTGTGAACACGCCATAGAAGACGACAACAACAGGGAGCTGAAGGAGGCACACCAAAGGGAGCAGGACATCGAACCAGTATTGCAGTGGATGGAAGATAATCAGGATCGTCCGAACTGAGTGGCAAAGGCTCCACTGAGCCTGGCTACAGAATTACTGGCATGCAAGGGACGCCCTAAAAATGAAGGACAGTGTTTTGCACTGAAAATGTGTCAAGGCTGATGGGTCTGTCAAGTTCTGGCAGGTGGTGTTGCCAAAGGAGCATCAGGACAGACTGATGCAAGAGGTACACAATGGTGTACCATTCTGCGGAGCAAGAAGCCACCACTTTCATCCCTGCAAGGATGATGTTGGGAAGGGAGCTACGTTGACCACTGGTCTTGGTGACTGGGAGGCCACCAAATGAGGATATACCTGTAGCAGCCAGCAACTATGTCATCAAATTACAACAGCAACTTGAAGAAGTGCACCACCAAATGAGAAGACACCTGAAGTTTGCAGGAGAGCATGCAATGCTATTACAACAAGGACACCCATGTAATCAAGTCCGAGCTGGGATATTTAGTGTGGCTGTACAAACCCCAGAAGAAAGGTATGTCACCCAAGCAACAGTGCCCTTGGGAGGGGCACTACAGCATCACTGAGTGTGTGATCGAGGTAACATAAAACCCAATATAGCAGTCATTGGTTGGATGGAGAACAACCACAACAAATCTATATCAGTACGACATAACTCTGGTAAACTCTGACATTCTTATGGATCCTTCAATGAGTACTGAAAAGTCAATCCTCAAAGGTGAACAATCCATTTATAATGATTTTCAATAAAAACCTAAATCCCTTAAATATGGAGAAATATAAAACAAATACACCAAAATATCCATAACCAAAACAAGGTGTATACAAGTCTCTCAAACTAAACCTACCTTTACAAGCTTCCAAGGTTCAACTGGTTCATTTGTTCCTGGTTGCACTTTATATCGACGGAGGAAGGCTGGCTTGTTTGTCGTGTCCATTAGCGTGTACAGGATGCCAATGCTCCAATAGACAAAGTAGGACACGATTGTAGACCCTAAAAGCAAGTGCATAGGTAAGTCAATTTACGCAAATTTTCATTTAAACAAATATTGAAAACAGAAATAGATCTTACCAAACTCATCATAATAACATACCATAAACCATGAGGAAGTAAGGATCATCTCCAAAAGTCTGAAGGATTTTGTCCCACTGGTGTTGCCAGAAGTCACCAGAAGCTCCCCAGAAGTGCTGCAGATGACTGGTGGATATTGAGAAAGAATGAGAGAGCGAAGAAAGAGCCAAAGGAATATCTGAAGCTTATTACTGTTACTCCTTGTTATAATTTTGTAGACTGGACATATGTACGTGCAAACACAGACATAAGCAAACTCACACTCACGACCATCCTCACACACACACGTACATATTCAAACATTCATAAAAAAAAGTACTAGGTATGAAAGTTTTCCAGGGTTCTTCACACTCAAACACTCACAGACTCATACACTAACATACACACCCACCCACTCACTCACTCACAAAAATAATACTTACTATGTAAGACTGTTCCTCAGAGCAACAAAGACAATAGTGGTTGACCCTATGATGAAGAGGGCCTTCTTGAGGGTGGAGACCAGGTCTGCTGCAGCAGGGGATGGCTTGCGCACTGCCATCCCCTGGTCCCCTTGATAGGCCTCCGTCTCAACCATTTTACCTACAGCATTACAGAAAAATGATAATCGTAAGAAACAAAACAATATGCTTTTTAAAAATTAGCACATCTTGAAGAAAAATGGCTGATTTTATTGTAAAAATAATAATAATAATAATAAAAAATAATAATAATAAAAGTATCAAAATAAATAAATAATAAAAATTAAAAATTAAGGGAATAAAAAAATTATGTGTTAAGTAGAATTATTATTAGTATATATCTTATATAACAAACAACAGAGACATTGGGTGAGATACTGGGCATCTTAGTTAATAAATATCTCTATCTGAAAAGATTTGGTTTTCAAAAGTTATTCAAGCCGTATGTTTATTGGCCTGTCCATTCAGACAAAATAAACAAACATGAATTTTATTGGTACTATATTTTAACCCAACTGGCACATTTGCCATCCATTCTTGCCATGGCACATTGTGGACCTAACGATGTTTGGCGCTAATCCCGCACTACTGGCTTATCGGATGTAGATTGTTTATCTCCTCTAGTAGCAGTAACAATCATATGGTTAATCTTTATGAAACTGGCACATTAAGTGAGATAAACCTTCAATTTTTTAAAGTTTTAAAAATAATAACAAAATAAAAGATTTCAGGTGCCTAATATTGTCCACAAACTACAGAACGAACCAGGCACATGTGGGGGAACTGACAATAGGTGCCACCAATGCCATCTGTGCAGCCACTAGCGGATCGGTTAAGCAATGAAGATGACGTGTCCAAAGAACAGTTTAGCTGTGCAACCAACTAAAATCTAAAGTAGTGTAGTAGGTTTTTCAGTCTTTAAGAATAAAAACAAAATAAACAAACCTTCATAAATATTGGAAGTATAAAACTAAATAAACAAATCTTGTGAAACATAATATATCTCAAAGTAGTAAGGAGTTGAAATACTACTAAGCTGTACTAAATTTGGCTTCGTTCTTCAAGAATACTATGATCACAAAGATTGCAAAGATGCAGATTAGCAATAAATGCATAAGTAGGATAGATTAATAAACCAGGTAGCAGTACCAGGTCACGGATAAATTACATAATTTACACAAAGGCAAAAATTCAGTTTTAAGCTCTAGGGGTAAAATTCTCAAAATTGCCAACATGTACTAATATTTGCAGACCAAACCCTAAAAAATTACATTTTACCAAGAATTTGGCAAAACCTGGGGGTCTATTCACTTAACACCCTTCACCATTTCCAACCCTGTACACGAATACTAATACTATATTAATTATCACAGTTTAAATATAAAATTTCAACGTGAAT